AAAAAACTTCAGAACATGCATCTTGAAAGACCCATAGTGAAATATTAATGCTATTTAAAAAGTTTTGTAAAGGGAGAATTCAAAACAATCTGGTATCTCTATAACAGAGTAGTCTGGTCAAACTGTGCCTCAAATTCATTTTTTTTTTTTTTTTGGCCAAAAGGTATTAATGTGTATGTGTGTGTGTGTCCTTTGATGAGACACTCCATAACTTCAAACAATATAGAATTGCTACCAATCTCTACACAAGAAACTAAGTTAATTAATCAAGGACTTACATTCTTAATGTGTTTCTAAATGTTAACATAGAGAGAAAGAAGTGTCAAAGAAAGGTATAGATTAAATGTTATAGGTAGGCATTTGGAGGCAGTAGTGATGATTATTAGCAGGAAGATGTGGGAAAACTTTAGAAAACAGAGAGCTGGCAATTGGTGCCTTCAGTTTGGACATATGAAGATAATGGGGGAGCTCTGCAGTTGTGAAAAATTATCAGGAAAATGATGAAATTCAGTAAGCTAGGAATATATGTGAAAGACATTGGAAGAGAATAAAGAAAAAGAAAAAAATGGTTGTGTGGGAATTGCAAAAGACAGTCTAGGGAGTTTGCATTTTTTGTACAGGTTAAGGGGCAAAATTGAATGTATTTAAGCATAACAGGCTCTGACCTGCCCTTTGGGAAATGACTCTAGTGTCTATTTACAGAACAGCCAGGAAGAGAGATAGAAAAAGAGAGGTGAGGAGGTGAATTAGGCATTGTGGAAATTCACAATAAGGTCTGCACCAAGGTGCTGATGGAGAAGTGTACCTTTGGCAATAAATCACTGAAGCTGGATCAGCAGAACTGAGCCCTACTTGATGAGTTTTTAGGAACAGGTAGGAATCTAATAAATTTAAAGGCTGCATGGCCAAAAGGGTGCCAAGAGCCCTCAGTAGTGACAGAAACAGATGAGATGGAATTGACAGAAATAATGCGATTATTATGGGACTTAAGCTTGAAGATCACTTTATAGAACTTCCATGTAAAGACATCACCAGTAACATGCTGAAAATGGTTAATAGTATATCAGATGTAGAAAATAGCCACCATAAGTGGGATTCGTTATGAACCTTGGTTTTCTTTCCTACCATCTTCATTTCTGGTTGGTGTCCCCAGCTTCACCTTATGGGTTTGTTACTGATTTTTTTTCATAAATCTTCTCTGCATACGTGACCTACATCTTCCTTATATTAGAAAATTTACACTCACCACCCCCACAGAATTGGAACAATAGGTGTGGGTCTTCAGAAATTTTCTCATGGTCTCATGTCACCTGACAGATGAGGAAACCAAAGATCAATGTAATTAATTAGTCTCTAAACATTATCAGATACCGATGAAGAATCTGTCTACCTCTCTTCTATGAGGATACAAGTTCCTCTGTGTCATGGGATATTTCTGCCCTAAGTCTTGAGTCATAAAATATTTCTGGTGGCCTCTGAGGCACAAGAAACCTCTTGTTTCTCAAGAAAATAAATAGTAATGTTCCAAAGAGAACTTAGTGATAAAGACAGTGCTTGAAACAGGCCTCAAATTACTGGTTCAAATCATGAGGCTAGTTTTGCTTAAATGTTCCACATGAAGGTACACAGGACACTAGAATCTTCAAGGTACTAAGAAATCAAGGGAGTGTACTTTCTTTTTCATTACATATTTTTAAAGTCCCCGATATTCACGGACATCACAGTGAAATGAATTAGAGTTGAATGTTTACATTTGCATTCTTTAATGATATGCCTGAAAAACATAATGACTCTAAACTAAAGAAATGTTTTGTGTGAGAATGAATTTGCTGTGACTGCCTGGGTTGCTGCTGGAAAGCATGGAAAAAAGAAAACACCGATTTATTGTTATAGCTGAGCCACATATTCCAACCATATCAAGGACTTAAACCATGAATACTTATTAAATCCAATTTTAAATCTGAATTCTAAAATAAATTTAGTGTTACAAAAATGAACAAATTGTACACAGCATGATCTATGAAGGTAGACTATTCCTTTTGTATCTATCTGTGTTGTTAGTGAAATTATGAAACCCTAGGTTTTCATTAATAACAATGCATTATTACATACACACTAGTGCCCAAGAATTAGTAGGTAGTGAGCAATAAAAGTTTAAAAATCAAAGTGTTGAATTTTTATAATCACGGCTGTTTATCAATTATCAGGCAGGGATATTTATAATGAATTAAGAGATAATTTTATGACCAAATATAAATTTTTAAATGTGACAATATATTCTCAAGGGTGAAAGACTGGTGTGTAAAAGACACACAGAATCTATATCTGGTTTTACGTTTATTTAGCTCTCTGACTTGCCCATGCAACCTAGAGGAAGCAGGACTACAACATGAAAATTGGGCAGAGGTGTACAGCAAGCTATGAAACACTGGTATGGACAAGAGGGCAAGATGCCAAGTCATAATCATGCCAATTTATAGAATCCCCACATGGAGCTTTTGGGAGCTATTCTACTGCAGCCCTATTTAAAGTTGTCTCTTGTTTTTTATTTCTGTTTGGCATAAAACTGAGTTCATTGCAAGGAAGTTGTGTTTTTGTACATGTGTGCATTCATGTCTGTCTTTTCTCATTGCAGAGACAAAAATATCTGACACCCTAAGTGAAAAGAGGAAAGATTTATTTCAGCTTACAGTTTGTAGAGGTTTCAGCCCGTTGTTGGCTAGGGCTCCAAGGCACCACATGGCCTGGCAGAGGAACCATAGAGGAGAAACAGCTCATGGAAGGGAGAAGGCAGCAAAGCAGCATAGTAGCAAACAGCAAGCAAACTACAGCAATCGTCTTTCTGTCTTTTACATTCTGCCCAGGCTCCTCACTCTTAGGGTGGGCAGTACTCATTCTCAGAGAGCCTTGCTATTATCCACTCTCAGAACTATGCCAAATCAATCACTGGATCCAGCACTTGGTTGGATACACTTTTAGTTCCAGCACCACACACTTAAACCCACCATCACACCTCTAGATCTAGCGACCCTTAAAAAGTCCAACTATGACCACATGAGGCTTTGGGGGTACATGGAGGTACCAGCCATACTGATGCATGTGCACCTAATTATAATTATTGCAGCCAGAATTCAATGTCTTTTGGGCTCTTGTCTCAGTACCTGGTATTCGTCAGCCTCAGCACTCTACTGGGAAAGAGAAGCAATCACTAGTCTTTATCCAAATTGAACCAGTTCTTTGCTGTCCCTAATTAAAACAGATTGGTAAAGTATCCTTTCTTACTATGGTTTTGGCTCAACCTCAGGGAATTTGAGCGCTTGTTCAATCAAATCCTTTTCTACTGGCATTGCTGAAGCCATTCCACTGCAGGAAAATGCTACCTTATCCATGGTGCTGTCTCCTGTTATGTCCCAAAGTCAGAGACTCATAAACCAAAACAGATCATTTCCTTGATTATCATGATCCAGAACCCTTGATGCACGGTACATGGGTCAGAGACAGGAGAAATTTTCTTTTTTATTGTGCTCACTGCCACTGTAACCTCTGTTTCCATTTTTCCCAGTTCACCCCAAACCTGGGGAGGTAAAGTCCTCTCATCTAAAAAGGCCCTCTAACTGCCAAGTTCATCAGTTCAAGCAAATGGAGGCCTGCACGGTTACAGGTGCCCTTAGTCTGTTACCTGCCTTGTCTTCTTAAATTTTCCTCTCAGATTTAATGTCAGAAAGATGGCAGCTGTGTATTTTGGCTTTGGAAGGAATTTAGCACTGGATTTTGCATCACTGGGCCAATCCACGTTCCTAGCTTAATCTGAGGGGTTTAAGAGCATCCTGGGTCTGTTGTCTTTTCACCTGAATCTAACCCCTGTTTGTTGATGCAGCGTAATCATTGTTATGGCAAGAAAGGCAGAGGGAAACACCCAAGACTCAGAAAGAGCCCTGTGTTTTGAGTCTGTTGAAATGTGTGTATTTCCTGAGGCACTGGGCTATTTCTGTTTCCAAAAGAAAAAAAAAATCAGAATAATGAGCTCTTGCCTCCCAGATGATGTGGAGTAATTCATGGTTTCAATTAAACTGCATCCAAACCTGTTGCATTGTCAGCCTGTTGTAGTGAATGCAAATTAATTGGCCCTTATTTTTATTTGAACTGAAGCCTTTTTTCTAGGAAAGCTGGAAACCATGCTGTGGGTAGAATTGCTGTTTTTTTAAATTGATTTTTTATTTTTTTATATAAGAGTTAACACTGAGGTCCACTACACTCAACCCCATGCAATGTTCGCCTGGATTTAAAAACTGCATTAGCACAGTTCCCAGTAAAATCCAAATTAGTTATCCCAAGGAGTGGCAAGGAGAGTTGAAATCTATAACTAAAATTTTAGTTGTAGTTTTTAACTCTCCTTGTTATACCTTTTAATCTGATTTACAACAAATAGTACACCTGAAAGGTGAGTTTCTCTTGCTTATTCCTTGTCTGCACTGACTCTAGTCAAAGCCATCCATCTGTTCCTCCATTCTTCTATTCATCTGCTGTCCCATTGTGTGCTATTTGTGCCTATCCATGATTAGTAAAAACAAATAAAAAACTTCCAGCTCCATGGACAGAAGCTGCTTAGTTTTTCATCTTGTGGCCCATGAAGTAAAATGCATTCATGTTCTTTTAGCTAAAAGTTTGGGTGCCTCAGTCCTTTCTTTCAATTGTAGCTATGGCAGAAAGCATTAATAATCTGCCAGGCCCTTTTTGGCCTGCAATAGGCAGGAAGCATGATTGTGAATTGGAAGATACTGAGAAGTTTACCAGTCATAGACAGGAAGTAATCTGAGGAGGGATGACCAAGAGGGTGGAGTTGCCAGTGAAAAGTAATTTGCATCTCTAAGAACCATGCTAAGAAAGATGAAAAGTGTCCCTGCCTTTCTTAAAGTTCAGTTATCTGAATCCTTTCCAGAGTTAAAGTTCCAGCAAGAGACAGTGGAAACAGTTTATCTGTAATACAGGAATGTTGTTACGTGCTCACTTCAGCAGCACATATACTAAAATTGGAACCAGAGAAGATTAGCATGGCCTCTGTGCAAGGATGACATGCAAATTCCTGAAGTGTTCCATATTTTTCGCTGTCCCTGTTTGCAACTCACTAGCACATTGCAGTGTGAAGAGTCATCTAGACAGTGTGCTTCAGAAGAATTGTAAACCAACAAAGAAAGAATCTGGGGCATCCTGGAAGAAGCAAAAAAGATGGGAAGAGGAAGCAACAAAAAAAGTCCCCAGGTCCCAACGCTGAGAACATTGACCCAGGACAGGTAAATACAAAGGAGAGTGAGAACAGCAAACATGCAATGTCAGACACAGTGCCAGTGGACATAAAGAGATATATTCGGGACCTCATAAGCAAGTTCAAAAGTGAAGTATTTAGCCAAATAAAGCAAGATATAAGAAGATTAATAAAAGAGATACTAAGCACCCCTCAAGCAGACACAGACAGAAGAAGGGAGGAACTCAAACAAAGGAGAGAACCATTTGGTGAAGAATATAAAAAAATATATAGAATACATGAAGCCTATTCAAAGAGATTACCAGGAAATTAAAAACTCTATGGAAAGATGGCAAATCAGCTTGAAAGAAACTAAGGATAGATTATCCAAACTGGAGGACAATTTTGTAATGTGGGAGTATGGAAGGGAAAACTTTTTAAAAATAACAAGGAAACAAGCAGTAACAACAATATAAAGGCTAGAAGATGACAAAAGGATCTATAATTTGAGAATAAAGAATGAAAATGAAGAAGCTGGGATGCAAACAAAGGAACTACAAAGGTTATTCACAGAAATAATTAAGGAAAGCTTCCCAAACATAGGAAAAGGAAATGATATTCTAATATATGAGGCATACAGAACTCCAGCCGACTACAACCAAAACAGAGCTACACCCAGACATATAATAATCAAGATCCCAGAAATTCAATATAAGAACAGAATATTAAAAGCTGTTAGAGACAAGAAACAGATAACCTACAGAGAAAGGCCCATCAGAATAACAGCAGACTTCTTGACACAAACTATCAAGTTAGGAAGACCCTGGAATGAAATATTCCAAACCCTGAAAGAAAATAACCTCCATCCCAGATTGATATACCCTGCTAAACTGTCTCTAGAAATTAATGGAGAACCAAGATGCTACCAAGACAAAGAGGAACTTGGGAAATTTGCAACCACCAATCCATCTCTACAGAGAATACTCCAGGGCATTCTAGAGAGAGAGAAAAGTACTAGGATTCCAGGAACAGTGGCAAAGAGGCCTCAATGAATGGAGCAGAAAACAGAATGAAGAAGATAAGCAGACAACTGATGGCAAAAAAGAGCATAACAGAAATGAGGCAGAGAAGATCTTATTCAAAACTGATATGATTGATAGTATCAAGTCTGAGAGTATAGGCAACTACACCGAAGATGACAAGACTCTACGATACACATTCTGGTTTGCTAACTGCCGGTTTTTGAAATTCTATACTATATACAAAGTTGTGTTTTTATTAATACTGTTATGTACTGATATATTCAATTATACTATGTCTGATGATACAGCCAATTCTATTGGAGACAACAAGAGACAATACAGGAACCATGGTAGAATGATTTTTACAAGTCTTATATGTTTATTTCAATACATGTATTTATAGGGATATGTTTTATTTTGCCTTGCTTTGTTTTGTTTCTCCCTCTAATATATAAAGGATAGAAATACATGTTAAGACTCATGCATGTGTAGAATCTCTAAACAGTTTATGAGAACTGATCATATTACACATGATGAAATGCATAGATACTTTGAAGAAAAAGAGACACTAAAATACCCAGTGCTGATCCTGGATTGTCATAACGTGAAACCCAGCAATAGTATTATTCTTTGTTCAGAGTGATATTAGCCTGGTTGGGTTTATTCAGTCTCAACATAATTGAAGATATGGATAACTGCATGTATGTTTAAGTGTATAGGATTGATAACCATATTACTAAGTTTTTGTTGGACAGTTGAACAGAACTGTTTGTGGTCTCGCTGTTTGAATTCCCACTCTACAAGTTCCATTTTTGTATCTTGAACAACTATTTGTAAAATGACAATATGTAAACATCAACTAGTGATTTCTTACTGTTTATTTTTTTCTCTGAACACATGTATTATTTCTACCTATTTTCTGTTTTTAAGTCTTTCTTTAAATAAAATTTAAAAAAAGAAACTGAAAGAGTAAATAAAATACAAAATCTTCAATAAATATTGAGAAAGGATAAAAAACTGCTCAAAGGGTAAAAAATAATGGAAAAGCAGAAAAGAAGGGAAAAGAAAAAATACAAATTTGCATATATATACTTAAGATAGCTAAGATGATTGTGCTATTAATTTTATTAGTTTTTGGAACAAAACAGTTAACATTATAGAATTAGATCAATTTTGCATGTTTATAGCTGGTAATCTGAGTAACTCTTTTGAAAATAACTATGCAATACAACAACCTTATCATCTTTGAATGCCTATATTTTCATTGTTTTGGGCTCTTTGTTATTGTTGTTTCTTATTTCTTGTTATTCTTGTAATGTTTTGTTTTCTTCCTCTAATACAGAAAGGATAGATGTACATGTATAGGTTTATATATGCCTAGAACTTGTCCTAAAGAGTTCATAAGAATTGATTTTGTTATGTGTGATGGTATGAGCAGCTCTTTGAAGAAAATGAAACATTATGGTAGCCATCGTTGATTTCCTATCATCTTGTTGTGAAATCCCGTAATGCTTTTAATCTTTGTTTTGATTTGTTTTAGTCTGTTTTGTATTATTTAATTTCAATATGTGTGAAGGTATAGACAGCTATTTTGAAGAGAACAAGAGACATTATGGTAGTCATTGTTGATTTTCCTGTTGTCTTATTTTGAAAGCCTGAAATATTTTCATTCTTTTGTTTTGAATGGTTTTATACTACTTTTGTCTTGTTGGAATCCATTGTGCATAAAGATATGGACAACTATTTTGAAGAAAACAAGAGACATTATGGTAACCCCTGTTGATTTCCTGTTGTCTTGTTTTGAAATCCTGTGTTGAATGCATTGTTTTGTTCTGATCTGCTTTGTTCTCTTTAAAATAAAAAAAAAAGTAATGTTACATGGAGCTTTATTATTCTGTATGGTTCAATTAAACTTTTGAGTTGTTTCTTTGCTTCTAAACAAAACCTATATACTGGGCATGACTCAAAAAAGAGTTTCACACAGATTGTTTTTCATAATAAACATACTTTTGTTCCTGAAACTCTGAAGCTGGTAGTCTTTAAAGAAAATTTCCTAAGAAGTAGCCTAGAAATTCGGATCTTAAGAACAGAGGCTACTAATGTAGTGGAAGATTTTGCTTAGAGTTTGAAGTTTAGGTCCCATTCCCCACATGAATTTGAATTCAGCATCACACAGAGGACTTCTGCCCTCGTATGTGGGAAGAAGACAGAAAACTGAGTAACATAAGAAATACAGAGAGAATGGTGTGCTTCGTGCTGCCATCTCTCTTGCTACAAAGCTGGAAACTGGATTTCATAGCATGATTATAAAGAATAGAAGCTGCCTCAATTATCCTCAAGAAAGATGTCACCGTATGGGGAAGTCCGGTACTTTGAATTTTCTCACATTTGGCCCACCCTCTTAGACTTTTGCTAAGGCATTTGCCCTTTACTAGTCCCTCCGCTTTTCAGGAGAGATCAGCCCTTCTGTCCACTAATTTTTCCAGAAGAACGTTTTTTTGTTCATCTCTGCTTTTCATACACACAGCACCCACTGTTTATGTTAAACAGATCCATGGAGACAAAGTAGTATGAATAGATGCATAAATGTGGGAAAATTTAGAACCCCAGACAGAAAACAGTGAATAGTTCAATATGACTGGGTGAAAAAAAGGCAGAAAGGAGCTTGAAGAATACAGGTATGGAAAGCTAATTGGGTCCTGACATAAAGAATTCAGGGATACAATGCAGATGATTAGGAATCATGTAATTACAGTTATTGGAGACTACGAATAATCTGAATAAAGTATGCATTACCCACATTAATTTCAGTTAATAAAATTTACCTCAATTAAACTAGTACATACTGTACTTGTATGGGGAAATTATTAAGTAGACAAAGATCTTATAATGAAAGTATGCCATATTTTGGGCCATGAACAATTCAAAATTGAGTGTCTGTTTCCTCAGATTGTAATATAAAAGTTGTAATATACACTCAGTTGGAAAAATTGTCTTCAGATAATTGCAATGATAATACTATGAAAGACTTAGGCATTTACTTGTCTCTTCTTCCTAGAATGATGTTCCCTTTTCCAAATACAGCAAGTTGCAGTGTTTCTCAACTTGAAGCTTGTGTCTCCTATAGTATTACATGGCTTCTTTATCCAGTTGCACCTTCCAAGAATGAGTCTTTGATATATTTTGAATCATAACCTGTACTGGATAATTACAAAAGTCCCTATCATTTTATGTATATCTTTAGACTGTAATTCCTTGGGAATACAACTATCACACAATCATCAAAGCTCCTTCTCTAACCTTAGACATACTGGCCAGTCCATTTTCTCTAGTAGGTCCATCACATTTTCTCCAGTTCATGTTCTGTGTTATAGGAAGTTAAATGATAAGTTAAATGCATTTTAGGTGGTGGAAACTAGGATCATTGTTTTTCCTTTTATAGGGTTTCTGTCCAAGAAATATTTACTTTCAAAATCGAGTGGGAATAGTCTAATACTCACAGAGGAAAGCCAAGTGCTCTTGACTTACTGTGTTTAATCCCGCTTTCTGCAGCATCAAGTACTTAGCAGAACTTCAGAAAGGAGTATTTAGAGAGGTTGGTACACAGAAGGGAAGAAAGTACTGCCAATTTAGAGATAAGTCATTTTCTTAGTTAAAACTAGACTAATTGGTTAGTTTGCACTCATTGGCATTCGCCAGAAGGTCCATGCTATTCAGTTTCACACAATTACAGATTCTTTTAAACACTTTTGATGTTCAAGTTTCACTTTTCTCTTCCATCAAAATTTATATTCTTGGCTTGTCTTTGGAAAATTAGTGACTGAAATGCAAGAACAGAA